AGTAATCAATAACTCAGCCAAAACATAATCAATAACTCAGTCGGATCATAATCAATAACTCAGCCACTTCATAAATCAAACTCAACTCAGTCACACTATACAATAACTCAGTAACAACATAATCTATAACTCAGACACGACGTAAATCAAACTCAGGCACAACATACCAGAGAAGATGAGAAGATGATGTCGTAGATACAATTACGTCGAAACTTTTGCGGAGAAGAGGATGTCGACAAAGATGATATCGGAGACGGTTAGGGTTTAACGAGGTCGACGAAGATGATTTAAGATATCGGAAACACTGTTTGAAACGAGAGTATTAGTTGTGACGGAGATGATTTCGGGATTTCGTAATCGGTTAGGGTTTAACGATAGTTGTGACGGAGAAGAATGTAANCACAAATTAGTTAGTGACGTGGATTGTCAAATTATGATGTGGATTTAATAATTAAAATTTGTATCAATAGTAACAAAATTAAACAAGGGTGTTTATTGTAATTTACTAGGAGTCTAAAAACATTCTAGTAATTTTTAGAAAATGTATACTATTCTAGTCATATACCAACTTTTGTGTATCATTCTAGTAATTTTCTCTACATCCAATACAAACTTATTTAATGTGACAAACTTTTATTATATATTAAAAATCATTATTGGTTCACTATGTATTCACTACAAGAAAACACGGCAATTCTGACGGATATTCCAACAGAAACTAAAATCCTCGGTAAAATTTGAGGGCATTCCGAGGAAACCTAAATTTTGGGCTTCCTCGAAATTTACCGACGAAATTCCGAGGAAAATGAATTCCTCGGAAAAAATCGAGGAAATTCCGAATACATTTCAAGGCAATACCGAGGAGACCAAAAGTTTGGGTTTCCTCGGAATTTCCTTGGAATATACCGACGAAATTCTGAGGAAAACCGAATTCGTCGGAAAAAACCGACGCAAATCCGAGGTTATATTATAGCCGTTGGGGATTTTTATAATTCTGAGGAATTAGCCGTTTCGTCGGAATTTCCTCAGAATTGTCGGCACATTTCATCTATAAATACAAGCCCCTCATCCTCTTCATTCACTCCATATCATCATCCTCTCACATAGTATATTTACACACGAATTTGATTGAAAAAATCATGTCTTCTTCTAATTATTATCGTTCTTGGATCGATCGACCTCATTTGGATCCTAACACGAGATTGCTTATGGAAGAGTACCAAAGAGGTTTAGGCGAATTCATGGCGTTAGTTCAACGACAACCGGAAGCAAAAACGGGTATGTTAAGATGTCCTTGCTCTACTTGTAAAAATAAAAAGGTTATAAAGGAGTTAGATGTTTGGACTCATCTATATTTGAGAGGGTTTACACGAAGTTACAAAGTTTGGTATCATCATGGAGAAACTTATTATGAATATGGTAGTACTAGCGAACCTCAGCCTGCGGTTAGGTTAGAAGAACCAATTAGAACAGAGGTAGATTATGGTGTTGGTACTGAGCAGATGGTAAATGATCATTTTAGAGGGGAAGATTTACCCAATGCAGAAGCTAGGAGATTTTTTGATATGTTGGATGCAGGAAAGCAACCTTTGTACGAAGGTTGTAGAGATGGTCATTCAGCTTTATCATCTGCAACAAGACTGATGGGCATTAAAACAGATTATAATTTGGCTGAAGACTTTGTGGATGCGATTGCTAATTTTGTAAAAGGTATTCTACCTGAGGATAATGTAGCCCATGGTTCATATTACGGGGTTCAGAAACTGGTAGCTGGTCTTGGTTTATCGTATCAGGTAAAGATGTATGCAGCGATAACTGCATGATATATTGGAGGGCGGATGAGCAGCGGGTTACATGCAAATTTTGTGGGAAGGCTCGTTATAAAGATACAAGTGAAAGAGTTCCAGTGCCATACAAAAGGATGTGGTATTTTCCTTTGACAGAAAGATTGCAGCGGTTGTATCAGTCTGAATGCACAGCGCAACCAATGAGATGGCATGCAGAGCATTCAACAGATGGTGAGAATAGACATCCTTCAGATGCAAAGCTTGGAAGCATTTCCAATCAAAATATCCAGATTTTGCGTATGAGAGAAGAAATGTCTACCTTGGATTATGTACGGATGGTTTCAGCTCGTTTGGCAAGCATGGAGACAATATTCTCTATGGCCAGTCATTCTTACACCATACAACTTACCGCAAAACTTGTGCTTGCGTCGAGAGTTTGTGTTTCTCTCCATTCTCGTTCTTGGGCCAGAGCATCCTAGGAGATCACTTGATGTGTTTCTTCAGCCACTAACATATGAGTTGCAACAACTATGGGCTCAAGGTGCTGAAACATATGATGTTTCGTGTAAGGAAAACTTTCAAATGTGGGCAGTACTTATGTGGACAATAAGTGATTTTTTAGCATATGGTATGTTATCTGGATGGACAATGCATGGAAGGCTATCATGTCCATATTGTCAAGATAACACTGATGCTTTCCAATTAAAACACGGAAGGAAAACGTGTTGGTTTGACTGTGAGAGGAGATTCCTACCACCTGACCATCCATATCGTAGGAGTAGAAATTTGTTTACGAAGAATAAGAGGGTGTTTGACGGTCCACCTCCAGAAATTTGTGGGGCAGATTTGTTGACGCAGCTAAGGGATTTTGACACTTAAATAAATGAAACCTTTGACCCCTCTCTAATCCCACATAAACACCCAACTAAGTTTCCTAACCACCTATTTTTGGATTTTTAAGATTCAACAATTGGCGCCCACCGTGGGGACTAAAGGTTTCTAACACATGAAGTAAAGTCACCTGAAAGAGAAAATGCCATCCTCCGACCTAGATGACTCAAAATACATATCAGCGACCAACTCAGAGACATCCTACGTTCCGAGAAGCCCTACCTCTCCACTTTCACCACTGGCCGAACTAATACGAATGCCATTCGGAACCTCATGAAACCGGGAAGAGCCACCGAGATATCGTAAATAAGGGAATTTAGAGTAAACCCTAATTTCCCAGAGGACCCGGCTATCTGCGGAACCGCACAAGAACAATCAAGACAACGATGAATACAAAAATAAAAGTATAGAAAAACGAGACTGAGAGCAATAAGGATCTTATTCCGAATTTGTGTAAGAACGGTACAACAAGAGTAGACTTATCTGCGTGAGCCGTCGGCCAGATTCCTAACCCTAGCAATCTAAGACTAAAAACCCTAGTTGAGACGCAGCTCGATAACGAAAACGAAAAGTTGCCTAAATGCTAAGTTTGGTGGTGAAAGCTCTGAAAACTCGTCCTCTGCTTCTGTCCTATGCCTCTTTCTTATATACTCCATTCCTTGGCGGTTTGGTCCTTCTATTTCGCCCAGATTCGAGTTTATCGAGAATCTTCCATTTATCTTTATCTTTCTTTTTTCCCCGCGGATATCTTCTATTTATCCTCAAACTTGACATATATCTTCAAATTTGACATTTATCTTCTTTCTGCGAGTAAATCGTCAAAACGTCGTCGTATCTTTGGGTTAGATTTCATGAAAGTTGCAAGATAGGCTTCCATCGCGTTTTAAGACTTTTCGAGCCGTTTTGTGGTAAAACCGTTTTACGACTTTATACGAGATCGTTTCTTGATGCGATGCCGTTTTTAAATAAGTTTCTCGAGTTAATCATAAATTTTGGCAATGTTCGATGTTTCGGTTAATCGTTGCCGTTTTCTACGATTCACTCGAAGTTTTATTAAAAGCGCATTTTTTTTACGATTTCTCACGAAAAATCACGAGCAAATCGTATAGTTTAGGCAATGTTCGGTGTTTCGTTTAACCATTGCTGTTTTATACGATTTCCTTGAGTTCTTTCGAGAAAACAAAACTTTACGGTTTTTATCGTAAAACTCGAACGGTAGGACGGATCGAGACGAAACGAGAGACATTTCTACCGTGGTTCGGAACATGATCGTGCCACCGGACATATGCCTTGAGCCGAGGACATGGGAGCCGTACGGCGAGCTATCCGGGACGTGACCAGCTCGCCGTACGGCGAGCTAGTCGTGAAGCGACTAGCTTTGGTTTAGCTCGCCGTACGGCGAGCTAGTTCGGCCGAACCAGCTCACAGTTTACAGCGGATGCGGTTTTTCACGGTTTTTTGCTTAACTCGGGCGATCGTGTAATCGGCGTTTGTTTCGTTTTTCCGAGATAACGATTTCCAAGTTTTCTGCGGATTTCTTTTGTTTGGAAATTTCCTTTAATTTTATAAAACGATTTCTCGAGTTTTATAAAACGATTTCTCGAGTTTTATAAAATGACTTCTCGAGTTTTATAAAACGACTTATCGAGTTTTATAAAACGTATTTTTATTTTTTTGCGGAAAATTTTGGCTATTGATTCGGTCATACCGATTTTGATCCCAACACTCAACTAGAGTTAGATATCCATCACCAGATGTTAATAACCGATGTGGGTCTTGAATTTTCTTTTTATTTATTCTGACAATTCTCCCCTCAAACAAAATGATTACATAACCTTGGTTTGATACCAATTTATTGTGATGAACAGGTTGCACTCTTGGATCAGATGCTCCACTAGAGTCAGATTGGATGTCTGTGCTGGAGGCCAGACACTCAATTAGAACTAGATGTCCGTCACCAGATGTTAATATATATATCTGATGTATAACTTGGATTGCTTTTTTTTATTTCGACATATATGTTAAAAAGATCTACTTAAACTAGATAAGATATTATATCTAACACGTATATATGTAAACAAGGAAAAGATACGAGATGGCTCACGTCGTGGAAAATTAGAATAATAGGCAAGGTGGCTCACGTCGTATAGAACTCTTAGTAAGAAACAGATAAGGTACGAGTAGTGAAGAGTAAATGTAAAATAAAATAAGTTGGATTGAGCCTCTCCCCTTTAACTTCCAGTTCTATAAATTAAACCACCTTTTGTTGATAAAAATATCACAAAGAGAGATCGGCAATGGGGAGCTTAAGGTTGAGCACAGTTATTGTCGCTGCTGTTGTCATTTGTTTCTCCATCCTCCTCCTATCTCCTACCGGTACGTAAAAGAAAAAAAAAAAATCTTTTTTTTTCAAAGATCTCAAATACACGGAGGCATGACACGGGTGTTTATGAAAAATGTGTGTTTTGTAATGGACAGGAGTGGAGGGAAGCTGTGACTTCCCATTCGGTGCGTGTACCCCTTTCCGTGATTGCAAGGAGAGCTGCATCAAATTCAGAAATGGGAAGTTTTTTGATGGCAAGTGCCGTCCGAGGGATAAACCAAGTATGTGGGCGGCTTGTTTCTGCTGCTATTATGATGATATGAATGCTGGAAAGCAGAGCATGTGATTGTAAACGACATCACTTTAGTGTGTGTGTTTTGCATGCTTATGATATCATCCCCACATTTGTTGTATTCTGCTTTGTTTCTGTTGTATTTTGAATCTCTTGTATTTTAAATAATGAAGGTTATTTCCCAGAATTTTCATTTTCAAACCTGTTTCTTTTTAACGACCCAAATTCCATTTCTGGGAAAGGCATTTTGTCCGTAGAACCACAAAAAAACGACGAACGAAATAAAAAAGACTGAAAATTGTAGGCTTGTCTTAACCAGATATGAATCTCCCAACGAAAGGAAAAACCATTACAAGACATCAAAAACTAAGAGGCAAAGCAGAACATACTTAAATGTTTTTGTCAGCATAGTTACTCGAAATACTTATAAGATTTGGACCTTAGAGTTTACAATGGTTACATAAAAAGATCTAGCAAGGAGAATAAGACACTAAGAATGAATAAACAAATGGAGATGAATAAAATAGTGAAGACCAGATCTGGGGAAGTCACTTTCGGATAGTGAAAACTCCTTTCTCTCTTCCTTCCTTAGCATATCATGTGATTTTGGCTTGTTTCCACACTCCTACAGCTCCATCTAGTTGCCTCCACTTGTTTAAATTCGTCCAAGAATTCAGGCAAGATATTTAAATCAGTCTCACATCTTTCTTTACTTCACTTTTCATGTCCATGATTTTTTGTCCATGATCTCTACTCCATGATCAATCAGGTTCTTCATGTCTTTACTCTTGCTGTTTATTCTCTTCATGTCAACACTCCCCTCAAGCTTGACCATAGGGACTTAGTCAAGTTTGGAAACCATGAAGCATTTCCTCATTAAAACCTTTACTTGGAAAAAAACCACTTGGGATTAAAACCAAGGAAAGGAAAAATAGTAGAACACTTCATGGCAAGAGGATCAGTGACAAGCTAGAGGTCTATGAGTCCAAACTTAGGATGAATGAACTCACAAACCTTGCTGCTAGCTGCCTTGGTGAATATATCAGCTAAGTGATCTTCACTTCTTGTGTAGCATGGAAGAATCACTTGCTGTTCTACTGCCTCTCTCACCTTGTGGCAGTCCACTTCTATGTGTTTTGTCCTCTCACGAAAGACTGAGTTGGATTCAATGTATATTTCTGCCTGATTGTCACAATGCATAGTCATTGGTGTGTTGATCTCAATACCCAAGTCTCTTAACAGTCCCTTGATCCATATAAGCTCACTTGTGAGCTTCCTCATTGATATGTACTCTGCCTCAGCACTTAAGCAAGACATCACCTTCTGATTCTTGCTCTTCCATGCAGTAGCCTGTAGTTGATCTCATATCAACTCTGTCTCTAGCCCAATCAGCATCACAATATCCAACAACTTCAGTACTCTTGTTACATGCCATCCATACTCCTTGGCCAGGCGCCTCTCTTAGGTACCTTAAAATCCTCTCCACCATATTCCAATGGTGCACCTTAGGAGCTCTCATGTGTTAACTCACTTGATTCATAGCAAAGCACACATCTGGTCTAGTGATTGTTAGATAGATGTGTTTCCCACCTTTCTTCTATACTTCTTGATATCTTCGAAGTGTGTAGACTCATACTCCCCATCTCTCAGCACCTTGTATCCTTCTTCTAATGGATTCTTGGCCTTTTTACTCCCAAGGTTTCCTGCTTCATTTAAAATATCAAGTGTGTACTTTCTTTGAGATAAGAATAACCCTTCTTTAGAGCGGCAGATCTCAATCCCAAAGAAGTACTTCAACTCTCCCAAAACTTTGATATCAAAGACATTCTTAAGAAAGGTTTTAGTTGAGAGAATACCTTCCTTATTGCTACCAGTGATGATAATGTCATCCACATAGACTATGATGACCACAATACCTTGCTTACTAATTAATGTGAAGAGGGTGTGATCAGCTTCTGACTTAACAAAGCCTCTTCCATTGAGGGTGGTGCTCAACTTATGGTACCAAGCCCTTGGAGATTGCTTCAAACCATAAATTGCCTTCTTTTATATGAGAACATTTACTGGCTTCACCATTTTCTAAAGACCAGAAGGTGGTCTCAGGTAGACTTCATCCTCCAATTCTCCTTGAAAGAAAGGCATTATTTACATCTATCTGCCATAATTCCCACTCAAGGTTGACAGCAAGAGACAAGAGAATCCTTATAGTGTGAAGCTTGGCCACTGGTGCAAAAGTGTCTAAATAATTTTCACCATATACTTGAGTATATCCCCTTGCAACCAGTCTTGTCTTCTTTCTTTCTGATTTTCCATTGGCTCCATACTTGATAGTGTAGAGAAGTTGGCTTGTCACTGTCTTCTTTCCTTTTGGAAGTTCAGTCTCAAACCATGTATCATTCTTGATCATGGCTCCCATCTCATCTCCAACAGATTCTCTCCACTCCTTGTGTTGCATAGCTTCTTCATATGTTCTTGGAATGTATTCTTGATCCAATTCACTGATGAAGACTTGATGCTTCTGGATATTGAGCATACTGCACTTATTGGATGAGTTACAACTTCAGCATTGAAGTAGACTTTTGTGTTGATCTAGTGTGAAGGTTTCTTGATCCTTGTACTCCTTCTCAAAAGTTGTGTCTGCTCAGGTTCTGCTTCATTTTCTTGAGTCTAAGCATCTGATTTTGATGGCATCTCATCTTAAACATGAGCTACTGAGTTCTCTTCAGGTTGAGCTTGTGTAGACTACTCAACATTTCTACTGCTCCCCTCATGATCAGGATGAGTGCTCTCAACACTTTCACCTGCAGTAGATGATACATTTTCAGGGACAGATTCCACCCTTCGTATAGAAGGCATACTGACTCCCAGGCTCTCCATTACTCTCCTAAGGTTGTTTGCTCTATCTGAGGCTGATTGAGAAAGATCTTTGAGCTCATCCCAACTCTTTCCATCATAATAGCCTCTGGATTCTACAAACTTCACATCCCTTGATATCAAGACTCTCCTAGTCTCTAGAACAAAGCATTTGTAGCCCTTTTGGTGCGGAGAATAACCAATAAACACTGCCCTGGTGCTTCTATGCGCCAACTTGTCTTTTTGTTCTCCTGGAATCAAGACAGAACAAAGACACCCAAACACACGCATATGGTCAATAGAGGGTCTGGTTTTGTTGAGTACCTCAAATGGTGAGTGATCTTGTAGAACTCTGGTGGGAATCAATTGATCAAATAACATGCGGTCAAGACTGCATCTCCCCAAAACCTTTTAGGTACACTTGTGTGAAACATCATGCTTCTGGCCACCTCCATTAGGTGTCTATTTTTCCTCTCAGCCACCACATTTTTTTGTGGTGTGTAAGGGCAGCTGGTTTGATGTATCACCCCATGCTGAGCCAAATATTGCTTGAATGCTTGACTAGTGTACTCAGCACCATTATCAGACCTGGGAATCTTCAACTTGGCATTAAAATGGGTGAGGACATGGTTATGAAAATTCTTGAATGCCTCCAGCACCATGTCTTTTGACTGAATCAGAGTCACCCATGTGTATTTTGGACTTCTCATCAATAAAGGTGACAAAATACTTGTGGTTCTCTCTGTACATACAAGGTGCAGTCCACACATCAGAGTGAACCAGGTCGAAACACTTCTCATAGATAGTGCTAGACCTTGGAAAGACTGTTCTACAATGCTTCCCCAAGATGCAGGCTTCACAATCACCATTCTGAACCACCATATCAGGGAACATCAAGTTCAAAGCTCTAGTGTGAGGATGTCCCAATCTGGAGTGCCATATGGTGCTCTCAATCCAATTAGAAGTACTGACTAGGCCATGAGCAGGAGATGCTCCAAAAACTTTAGTCTTTTCCAGGTGATATAGTTCTTGATGGATGTACCCTTTTCCAATTACATGTTCTGTCTTCAGGTCTTGAAATTCAACCTCATCAGGTCTAAAAAAACTTGACAATTTAGGTCCACGATTGCTCTTTTCACTGATAGCAAGTTTGATGTAAACTGAGGCATGTATAAGGCAGTTGAATCTCTATCAAACAGCTTAAGGTTCCATATCCCTTCTATCTTAACCTTATTACCATTTGCTATAAGCACATTCCCTGAGGCAGGTTTGACATGACTAGCCAAGTTCCTATCACTAATCATGTGATGACTAGCTCCTGAATCTATAATGATGGGTTTAGAGCTAAAAGAATTAGTACCAGCCTCCTTGGGTGAGATGAGAGCCTTGGCGGCTTTGATCAACTGATCAAGGTCTCTCCTTGTCATTGGACCATCAGTACCCTTCCATGTCCCTCTTTCATTTGAATCACCAATGAGGGCTGAGTACATGGTTCTTCCTTCAATACTTTGATGTTCAAACTCCTTGGACTTGAGTGTATCTAGTTAGCCTCTCCATTTAGAGTTACACTTGCTGAGCTTGTTTCTCTGACCTCCATATACCTGTCCCATGTTTCTTTTCTTCACAAGCCTACTACTGCTTGTCATGTGAGTAACCGGCTTCTCTACATCCTTGAAGATGCGATGTGCTCCTTGTTCTCTTTGAACTAGAGAACAAACCTCATATAAGTCAGGAAGCCTATTTTCTCTAAGAATATGTCTTGTCAGCTTGTTGTAGGACGGATTCAGATTCAGGAGAAGACTAAAGACCTTGTCTTGCTCATATCTTTCTCTCATAACTTCATGGTCTGTAGTGAAAGGTCTAAGCATATCGAGCTCTACCCATAAGCTTCCCAAAATATCGAGCTCTACCCATAAGCTTCCCAAAATATTGATTAAATTCCATTTCATTTTGGCTCAGGCAGTTGATAACCCTCTTGACTTCAAAGACTCGGCTCAAGTTTGAGATGTTGCCATACACTTTCTGGAGAGTGTTCCACAACTCTTTGGAAGTTTCACAGTAGGAGTAAGCTTCCAAGATTGGTGTCTCAAGACTGTTTTGGGTGATAGAGAGCACCATGAGGTCCTCCTGACCCCATCTGTCCTTGCCAGCCACCACCACTTCAGTACCATCCTCTCCTATGATGGTCTTCTTTGAGGGCTTGTCTTCTGTCACATAGAACCAAAGACCTCTCCCTCCTAAGGCTGTCTTGACAAGCCTTGACCACAACAAATAGTTAGCTCCTTTGAGAGTAACTGAAATCGCCACCTTCGAATTTTCCTTATTTGGTA